AAACTAGGATGATTATGAAAATAATCCAACAAAAATATTATTTATTTATATAAATTTTGGCATTGGAAAGAAAAATATGTATTTTAAATTAAATATATAAGACTATTCACTTATACTTTTAAAGATATGAACTGAAACAGTTCAGTTCGATCATTAGTTTAGACCGATTTTTGAATCGTCCAACCAATAAAGAATATGTGGGTTAGATGGATATAAACTATGAGATTAATTAAGATGTGAATGTTTGCTTAATCCACCTCAAGCTAAATGGAAATAACAATGTATATATAATGATACCTATAATAATTGTGAATGTTTGATTAATCCACCACACCCAAATGGTGGTGAGAGTTCTCTTATTTATAATCATTTACAGAATACAGAAATAAGGTAAATTACAAATAATAAGGAAATAGCGATAAAAGGAAAGAATAATAAATGAATACAATATATTTGCATTTAGTAAAAGAGAAAATATGGTAACCCGTAATGTAAGGCAAATATCTAGATATTTGCCTTAATGAACGGTCAACTATCCTTAACACCCCCCCGCAAGCTGAGCGTCGGATTTGAACGAACATGAAGCTTGGATCTGAAAAATTCAAAGAGAGGTCGAGAAATACTCTTTGTGAAGATGTCAGCAACTTGGAGATGAGAGGGTACATATTGTGTACGAAGTTTGCCAGCGATAACAAGTTCTCGAAGGAAATGATAATCTAGTTCAACATGCTTGGCCCGCTTGTGAGAAACAGGATTAGAGCTCAAAAAAATAGCACTTTTGTTGTCACATAAGAGTAAGGGCTGCTGTGAAATAGGGACCTTGAGGTCATGCAAAAGATGCGTAACCCAAAGAAGTTCAGCAGCAGTTGTGGCAAGAGCACGATACTCAGATTCACAGCTGGAGCGTGATACAGTAGGTTGCTTTTTGGCACTCCAAGAAATGAGATTGTTACCAAGATAAATAGAATAGCCGGATGTAGAACGACGAGTATCGGGACAACCAGCCCAGTCAGCATCCGAATAAGCGACTAGCGTACTAGGAACAGTGGATGGACGAAAGATAAGACCAAAGTGGAGTGTTCCTTTGACATAGCGAAGAATACGTTTGACAGCAAGAAAGTGATCTGCAGTAGGGGCATGCAAGAATTGACTGACAGAATTGACAGCATAGGCAATATCTGGACGCGTGATAGTCAAGTACTGAAGGGCGCCAACAAGAGATCTGTAGAGAGTAGGATCAGAGAAAGGAGAACCATCAGCAGTCAGGTGTTGAGAAACAACCATGGGAGTGTGAACTGGTTTGCTATCGAGCAACTGAGCACGAGTAAGAATATCTCGAGCATATTTTAACTGACTGATAAAGAGACCATCAGGAGTGGGTGAAGCTTCAAGACCAAGAAAGTAACTGAGAGAACCCAAATCTTTGGTAGCAAACTCAGAATGAAGCTTGCGAGTAAAGCTGTTAATAAGAGATGAGTTGTTGCCGGTAACAATAATGTCATCAACATAAAGAAGCAAATAGATAAGGTTAGATTGCTGATGAAAGACAAAAAGGGACGTGTCAGCGCGACTACAAGAAAACCCAAGTGTGAGAAGAAATGAGCTAAAACGCTGAAACCAAGCACGAGGAGCTTGCTTTAAGCCATAGAGAGCTTTCTTTAATAGACAAACATGCTTTGGAAATCGAGGATCAACATACCCAGGAGGTTGTTCCATATGAACACGTTCAATAAGCGTTCCATTGAGAAAAGCATTCTTGACATCAAGTTGTCGAAGAGGCCATTTATTTGTGACTGCAATAGAAAGCACAACACGGACAGTGGTAGCTTTGACAACTGGACTGAAAGTGTCAGTGTAGTCAAGACCAGGAACCTGAGTATAACCTTTGGCAACGAGACGAGCCTTGAAACGCTCGACGGATCCATCGGGCAAATATTTAATACGAAACACCCATTTAGAGCCCACGATGTTGGTGTTGGCAGGGCGAGGAACCAAAGTCCAAGTATCATTTTGTTGTAACGCTCGAATTTCTTCATCCATGGCAGCCACCCAAGCAGGATTCTTAGCCGCAGATTTGAATCCTTTTGGCTCAGTGGATGCAAGAAGAGCAGAGAGAAGTCCAGATGAGCCCAACATACCAAGATTTGCTGGATGATGAGTCTTGAATATACCAGCTTTGGCGCGTGTGATCATAGGATGAGTGCCCAAAGAAGAGAAATCAACAGGAGGTTCAATAGAGGTTGAATTAGAAGTCGAGGGTGACAAAGTGGAACCTGCAAGAGAAGTATCAACCTGCACAGACTCATCTACAAGGTCAGAACAAATATCACACGGGGATGAACTGGATTGAGGAATGTGCGGTGATGAAGTGGTAGGGGGGGATGAATCAATATGATGAAGATGTGGTTCCAAGAAATTTGAAATAGGAATAGTGGAAAGAGGTTGGGCTTGGGAGCTAGGGATAGCAGGAAAGTGAGTTTCATCAAATTGAGCATGGCAGGTGATATATAGCTTAGTGGTGGCGGGATCAAGACAGCGGAACCCTTTATGAACAGGACTATAACCCAAAAAAATACAAGGAATGCTGCGGGGAGAAAGCTTGTTAGGCATATAATCACGCAAATAAGGATAAACACGACAACCAAAGGGATGAAAATTGTCATAATGTGGAGTGTAGCCATAAAGGAGTTCAAAGGGTGACTTACCTCCAAGAAGTGGAGTAGGCAACCGGTTGATAATATAAGCTGCAGTGCTGAAGGCGTCAACCCAAAAACGAGGAGAAAGATGAGAGTGAAAGAGAAGGGCCAAGCCAGTCTCAGTCACATGACGATGTTTTCTCTCAACACGACCATTTTGAGCAGGTGTATATGGACAAGAGAGTTGATGGTGGATGCCAGAATTACGTAAATGAGTTTTGAAACAAGTACTAGTAAATTCGGTACCACCATCGCTTTGAAATACCTTGATACGAGAAGAATATTGATTTTCCACAAATTTTTGAAATTGAAGAAAAATATCAAAAAAAATCAGATTTAAATTTTAAAGGGTAAAACCAAGTGAATCGAGAATAATCATCAATAAAAATAGCATAATAAAGAAAACCCGAATTTGATTTGACGGGAGAAGGACCCCAAAGATCACAATGAATAAGATCTAACACATGAGACGACCTACGTTCATTGCGGGAATAAGGCAATCGATGGCTTTTCGCAAGCTGACAACTATTACATAATGATGGAGAAGGCAATAAAGACGTAAGAGAAAGATGACCTTTTTTATTTAAAAAAGAAATAACAGAATGATTCACATGACCCAGACGAGCATGCCATAAATCATATGAAGCACGTAAAGATTTGTTTTTAAGGGCTGAAATAAAAGCAGAGTTGCCGCGCTCCAGCACATATAGCCCTCCATCTCTTTTACCGGTTGCCACCACCCTTCCTGTTTGATGATTCTGGATAGTAATAAGATTATTAGTAAATGTAACGGAGAGAGGAAAATCAGACGTTAATTTACTTATGGAAAGAAGATTTTTAGTGAGGTGAGGGACAACCAAGACATCTAATAAGTGAATATTTGGAACAGGAGAAAGAGTACCGATGTGGGTAATGGGTAGGGATGCACCGTTTCCTACAATCACAGAGTCCTTACCCGTGTAATTTTTAGACTGATCCAGAATTGATGGGTCGGCAGTCATATGGGCCGAAGCTCCAGTGTCCAAAAACCAATCAGCAGCATCGGGTCCAGCAATAGAACATGACGTGTTAAAGGCTTCAGCAAGGTGAGCATGAGAAGAATCAGGTCGAACATACCGTTGGTTGCAGCGGTCAGCATAATGGCCCTCTTTGCGGCATATTTGGCAATGAGGTGGTCGACGACCCTGACTTGAGTGGGTTCGTCCTCGATTAGAAGAGTTGTTTTTGTGAGAATAAGAACGACCTCGCTGATTGGTAAAGGAAGCAGGGTGACTTTCATGGGTGCGGCCACGATTAGTGGCTATGAATGCTGTAGGAGTGGAGTCAGAGGACTCAAGGGAGCGCTGGAACAACTCAAAACTTTCAGTTTTAGAGACTAGATCTGCAAAACAGGGGATAGGGGTGAGAGCCATCTGAGCAGTAGAAAAAGCTGAAAATTCGGTGCCGAGTCCACGAAGGAACCAATGCACTTTATCAATGTCCTCGACGGGTCTGCCAATGGCATGAAGTTGGTCACAAATTTTTTTGAAGGCACGGGCATACTCAGCAACAGGTTTTGTGCCACGTTTCATCAACTGCAAGTCATCCTTGAGTCTCAGTTCACGAGCTTTTGACTGATGGCTGTACGTAGTTTCCAACGCAAGCCAAACATCACGTGCAGTAGAGAGACCAACGACAACAGCCATGGCTTCCTCAGTGAGAGAGGAGAGCAGGAGACAGAGAAGTCGTTGATCGGCTGCTCTCCATGCCAAATATTTGGGGTTGAATGTTGAGGAGGTTTCTGGTTCAAAGCGAGGTGGTGGAACCATAGTTCCATCGACATAGCCCAGCATGTCTTGACTCTCAAGAAGAGGGAGAAGTTGGCTTTTCCAAAGAAGATAATTGGAGGAAGAAAGTTTGATGGTGATCATATGGATTAGAGTATTGAAAGGAAGAAGATGATAACAAGATTCGGAAGCCATAGAGAAGAAAGGATCAGGGTTGTTAAACCGAAAGGGCTCTGATACCATGTGAATGTTTGATTAATCCACCACACCCAAATGGTGGTGAGAGTTCTCTTATTTATAATCATTTACAGAATACAGAAATAAGGTAAATAACAAATAATAAGGAAATAGCGATAAAAGGAAAGAATAATAAATGAATACAATATATTTGCATTTAGTAAAAGAGAAAATATGGTAACCCGTAATGTAAGGCAAATATCTAGATATTTGCCTTAATGAACGGTCAACTATCCTTAACAATAATCAATCAAATATGATATATATGATAAACTATAATTTAATATTAAATATCTTCGATTCATTTAGATTGATTTGCAAGCAATAAAACGCTACAAAAAGGTGGGTTTGTTGAAGGGGAAAGGGTGGGGTTGGTGGTGAGAAAAGCCTTGATGTGTTTGTACATTTTTCTTGGCTTCTCTGCAATGAACGCATGCCCTGCTTTCTTTATAACCACTAATTCAGCCTTTTCACCCACGTGCCTGAAATCATACAAATATGTATGAGGTTTATTTATGTAGTTTTTGAATTTGTTAATTTCTTTACTCGTTCTAGTTTAAGATTTAACTTGATAAAATTACGAGCATATAATATTCGAAAGATTCTCGCTAACTTGTGAGAAGGAATCTCGAGATTATTATCATATTTTTCTTTAATAAAATAATTTGATATCTATGTAACTAAACAATCTTTTTTTTTATTTTTAAGAATCATTTATTTTTAAATTTTGTCATCGAACCATCATTTAAAAGTTATAAATTTTCGACATAATTGAAAAGAATGGTGAAAATACCTTTTTAATCTATTGGCTAACTCCAAAGGAAATACTTGGTCTTGGTCTCCCCATAATATCAATGTAGTCTGTATTGTCAAATTAAAAAAAAATATTGCTATAACATCATAATGTTAATATGGTTAAAAAATATTATTTTAATTTCTATTCTCAATAATTCTTAAATTTATTTTTTTAAAAAAAAATTAACATATACTAACATTTCCCTTGTAAACTTTAAAAATATGTTCATGTGGTATATTTATTTAATGACAATTATTATTATTATTTAACAAATTTAAATTAAAAAATGAATAGATTTATTGAAAGTAGGCTAATAAATTACCAGTAAAATTTCCAAAAAAATATAAATTTTCAAAATTTATTAATACCATTAAATTTGTATAAAAAATTAGTTACAAAAAAACTGGATTAATACCCTTAAATTAAAAAAAAANTTATTCTTAGGAATTTTTTTTTTTTTTTTTTTTTTTTTTTTTTAATGGAATGGTAGAGAGGAAAACAGGATATTTCAAACCTTATCGATCTTGGGAAGATTAGATAAGGTCCGATCCTTGAGTAATTGTTTGATCAACTCTTCTTTCTCTTGCTGGTACTCTTTGCACATCACCTATCAATAGAAGCTCGAATGAATTCTTAGCAACGCAATCGAACAGAAAAAACGAATGGATTTCTGTCTACGAAACTGATTTAGATATGATTTCGATCTTTTTTTTTTGGTAGAAATTCAGAGGACAAGTTTGTATGAATTTTTTCTCCATTTAGTTCAATATTGTGAGCTAACTCTTCAGATTATTGTTCCTGGAGCCTGATTAGTTCTGCTATTCTGATCGGAAAAACAGATGAAATCCCTAATTTGACAAACAGATGAAATCCGAACGAGTAAACGAGGAAAACAAATATTTAGTCAAGATCACTCACATTGATGAAATCGTTGATAATGAAAGTAGGCAAAAATCGAGCAGGCTTGACGAAGGTGAGGCGGATGAGTTCCTTGAGCCTCGCCGGCGTTTGAGGCAGTAAAATATCTGCGGCCTCATCGATGTTTTTCACGACGAACATCCCGTCCGCCATATCTTTCTCTTCCAAGCAAACGCCGGCACAACAGAGCACCAATTTCTCCAATCGCTCTGGAAATTGAGCCGCCATACTGTATGCTACGAAGCCACCGTAGCTAATTCCAACGACATTCACCGTCTGAACATCGAGCGAATCCATTAATCGCATCATACAGAGAGCTTGAAAGGACTCGGTCCTCTCAGGGCGAGTTGTGTACGAATTGCCGAAGAAAATTAGGTCAGGAACGTAGACATTGAAGAACCGAATCATTGGCGATATGAACTTGTTCCATTGCCACATTGCGTTGGCTCCAAATCCATGGATAAGAAGCAAATTTGGTTTCGTATCTCTTCTGAATTTGGGCGCCCAACAGTGGATGATCGTTCCTTCGCGTAGATCAGTGGTGATGGATTTGAGGCCTGCCATAGAAAAGGAGCGCCGGAAATACGAGTTCAAGGTGTATGAGAAACTAAAACAAGCTGCCATTATTGGATTCAACTGCTCCGATTTTCTCAATCCTACTCAGAATCTGCAAGAGAAATTGGGGGGAAATGTAAGAACGCCGAAGAAATTTACAGATTCGGGGGAGAAAAGTGGAAATCCTTTTGGAATCTGGATTGAGGAATCTGTAATAGGAACACGGAAAGAATTTATAGTTTCTTTGGGAGAAGAAAACAGGGAAATATCTCTCCCCATTCGCTCGAGAATCTTGAAACCGCGAAAATGGTAGAGCAAGTAGATTTTAGTTAATTTAAATCGAATTATCAAGATCATCTTAATTATAACTATCTTTAAACAAATAATTTTAATAAAATTGTATAAGTAAAAGGTACATGAATGAACTAATAACATCGTCCAAGTAGTATGACTAGAAAAAGCTTAAAATAATTGAAAGTCACTATTTCACTGATAACATGCATTTTTTTTTTTTTTTTTTGTCTCAATCATAAAAATATCATGATTAAGCATGTTTTGCTTACGAGCGATTATATGTTAAGTGATCTCTTGAAAAATTTTAGAGGACGAATGTGAGTGAAGACAAAACATGCTGAAAGGGTTTGTTGAGTGAAAAGTAAGTAACGTGACCATGTTGCAAGGGATGCAGGAGAGTGTTGGGGTCATCAGGTGTCGAATTCAAAATCGAGGACATGGGCTCATTATAGAATGATATTAGAGCCAAATTCCTCTCCCAATAAGATGTTATTGGACGAATCAAACTCGAAACTATTAAATATGTGATTTCCGAGTAAAGGAGGGCCACGTGGTAGCTACCCTCCTTATTAATACAATAATCAAATTTAAGGCTTCACGATTAAAATCAATTAGAGTGTATTGTGTGCTAAATTATCTTAAATGAGATTTTTTTATACCTATAAAATAATTATTGCATTAAAATATTTAATTAATTATAAATTTAATCAAATCAATTAATTATATTTTAAAATTGTGATTATTAAAATGTCTATATCTTAATTCTCAAATTTGATTAGTTGGATTAAAATTTAGGTCGAGCTTAGTTAAGTTAGTTCATTAATAATTTTATTATATATATTCAAATTAATTATCATCAAAATGGATTTCTATTTTTTTTAATTGAATTTAGTTTAAAATTTAAGTATTTTTCACTTTTGATAAATTTATTAAATTATAACGTTTCATTTAATATTTTGTTTTTTAAAATATTTTATTAGTTTTTTTTAACACATTTAAAATTTTATATTAATTTAATTATAAAAACATATTTTAATTTTTTTAAAAATATATTTATAGAATATCTCACACTATTAGCTATTGTGTGCAAAAAAAAAAAAAAAAAAAAAAAAAAAAAAAAAAAAAAAAAAA